GGAGCTGTTCTCATTTCTGTTCAGCTGAAAGGATCTGAAAATTATGGCATATGGAGAAGGTCAATGACAATAGCATTACAGGCAAAGAGGAAGTTAGGCTTCGTTACAGGTGCTTGCAAGAAGGATTCAGTACGTGAAGAACATCATGAAAACTGGGAGACTTGCAATGCACTGGTTCTTTCATGGATCATGAATACAGTCACACCTTCACTTCTTAGTGGAATTGTATATGCTTCGAATGCTTTTTTAGTATGGGAAGACTTGAAACAAAGGTTTGATAAAGTCAATAGAATGAGGATCTATCAGTTGCATAAGGAGATCAATTCAATTAGTCAAGGTACAAGCACTGTCTCTGAGTATTTTACAAAGCTGAAAGAACTATGGTCTGAGTTTGATGCAGTAGTTCGTTCTCCTGATTGTGGTTGTGTTAGAGATAAGGAGTATGTGGCACATCTTCAACAGCAACGGTTACTACAGTTTGTAGGAGGTTTAAATGATTCATTTGATCAAGCTAGGAGGCAGATTCTCATGAAATCTTCTGAGCCTTCTTTGAGTCAAGCCTATGCTCTTGTTATTGAGGATGAATGTCAGAAAGGATCTAGCATAAACACTATGTCTCAATCGATTACTGGAGGTAATGATATCACTGCTTTATGGAGTGCTGGAGGGCCATCACAAAGCTATAAGAAATCACATAATGAACACTGGAATGAGAAGTGTGAATTTTGCAAAATTAAGGGTCATATCAAGGCAAACTGTTATAGACTCATTGGATATCCACCAAATTACAGAGGTAAGAAGAAAAAAGGTATTGCAGCAAATAGTTCTTCTATGGGTGAGGATTCATCTCACATCAAGGACAATTATGATCAGCATTTTGGTATTTCTCAGACTTGGAATCCATATGGTTATAATGGGAATAGAATGCCTCAATCTCCTTATGGTTATAATCAAAATGGACATGGATATACTGGTTATTCTCCACAATATATTCATGGAGGTCAAGGACAAATGGGTGAAAGAGGTGGATCTATGCCTAGTTGTTTTCCTTCATCTTCATCACAACAACAGTCCTCACATCTTAAAAAGGATAATCATTCTGCACCTGAGATAGCTGCTCACTCTGCAGGTAATATTAATTCTTTTCATGTTAGTAGTGAACATGACAGATGGATAGTAGATACAGGTGCCACAAACCATATGACTCCTAACTTAGGAATGTTACATGGAGCTTATGAACAACAAGGTCAAAGTGTTCATTTGCCAAATGGCAGTAAAGTTAATATTTCTCATATAGGACAATGTCGATTGCCACAAGGAGTCATTCAAAATGTCCTACATGTTCCTGATTTTAAACTAAACCTATTGTCAGTTCCCAAGATGACAAAGGAGTTGCAGTGTTGTATGGTTTTCTATCCTGACTTCTGTCTACTGCAGGATCTTCATACTGGGAAGGTGAGGGGGACTGGTAAAATGGAAGGAGGGCTGTATTTCTGGGATCATAAAGAGAAGACATGTGTTACTTCTGCAGCCTCAATAGGAACTCAAGCTGATCATGAGCTTTGGCATAGAAGGCTTGGTCATGTTCCAAGCAGAATACTTGAACAAATGTCTTTGGTTGATTCTAAAAACACTGTACTGTCATCTTGTCCTGTATGTCCTTTGGCAAAAAAAACTAGACTTCCTTTTCAAAGAAGTGTAAGTAGGACAAATAATCCTTTTAATCTTATTCATGGAGATGTTTGGGGTCATTACAAATTACCTACACATAATGGTAAAAGATTTTTTCTGACATTAGTTGATGATTGTAGTAGAATGACTTGGTTGTTTCTATTACACTTGAAAAGTGAAGTGAGTACTGTTATCCAAGATTTTTTGCATCTGATCAAGTCCCAGTTTAATGCATCTGTCAAGGTGTTTAGAAGTGACAATGGTACTGAATTCTTTAATGCACATTGTAGAGAAATTTTTAAAGCTGTTGGTATAATGCATCAAAGTTCATGTGTTCATACACCTCAACAAAATGGGGTAGTTGAGAAGCGACATAGGCAAATCCTAGAGGTTGCTAGAGCACTTCGTTTTCAAGGTCATATACCTCTGAAGTTTTGGGGATTCTGTGTTCAAACTGCAATATATCTTATCAATAGGATTCCTTCCACAGTCTTACATGGCAAGAGTCCTTTTGAAGTATTCTTTGATAAAAGGCCCAATGTTCAACATTTGAGAGTCTTGGGGTGTCTTTGTTATGCAACTATAACTAGAGACTGTAGGGATAAATTTGGTCCTAGAGCTGAACAGGCTGTTCATCTAGGCTATTCTAGCACACAAAAGGGCTATGTTTTGTACAGTCTTTCTCACAAACATTTCTTTGTTAGTCGAGATGTTACTTTCCATGAAAATATCTTTCCATTTACAGTTACAAATTCTTCTTCTTCTTTATTTCCAAATGAAGCTGTTGTTCATACTGATGTTGTTGATGATTTCAATTGCCCAGTTTTAACCCCTATTGCAGAACCTATTGCTACTCAGCCTTCTAGACACTCTAGTAGGGTAGTCAAACCTCCATCTTGGCTCCAAGATTTTGTTCATGCTCCTCTTCCTTCACACAATGTGTCTAGTTCCTCTTGTCAGTATCCTTTGTCTACTTTATATGTCCTATGCCAATATTGCTATCCCTCATTATCACTCCATATGTGCTTACTCTTCCATCAAAGAGCCTACATCTTATGCTGAGGTTGCATGTCATCCAGAGTGGGTACTTGCCATGCAATAAGAACTTCAGGCACTTGCAGACAACCATACATGGTGTCTTGTTGATTTACCTTCTTATAAGAGAGCTATTGGTTGCAAATGGGTGTATAAGGTGAAGTATAATGCTCTTGGAGAGGATGAAAGATACAAGGCTCGACTTGTTGCTAAAGGTTACACACAAGAAGAGGGTTTGGACTATCAGGAAACCTTTTCTCCAGTGATTAAAATGGTCACAGTTAGAGTTGTCCTGTCTTTGGCTGCTATGAATGGTTGGAAACTTCATCAAATGGATGTGTTCAATGCATTTCTCCAAGGCGATCTAGAGGAAGATATTTACATGCTTCAACCTCCTGGTTTTTCCAGTAAGGGGGAGTCAGCCAAAGTTTGTAAGTTACAAAAATCTCTCTATGGCCTTAAACAGGCATCCAGGCAATGGAACTTTAAGCTTTCAGAGGCCTTACTTAACTCTGTTTTTTCACAAAGCCATCATGATTACTCCCTATTTACCAAAGTTGAGGGATCTGATACTGTTCTAGTCCTTGTTTATGTGGATGATCTCTTGATCACAGGTTCTTCTTCCACTCTCATTTTGGACACTAAGAACCTGCTCAACCAACATTTCAAGATCAAGGATCTGGGGGAGATGAAGTACTTCCTTGGTCTTGAAATTGCCAGAAGTAGCACAGGTATTTCAGTTTGTCAAAGAAAATTTTGCCTTGATTTGATTTCAGATCTAGGACTCAC